TGAGGTTGTTCGATCCATGGCCAGTGTTCTTCAAGAGGGAATGGAAACGATGTTGGCCGTTTCTTACTGGATTCGCCGTGACCGGCGTTCTCATCACCAAGTTCACGGCTGGACTCACTGGTTAGTCGTTTCCAGATCTGACCCATCTTCTATGGAAATGAAATGACAGGCCTGATCATCACTTTCATCTTATCGTTTGTGTTGAATCAGATCGGAGATGTTTATGTATTGTGTCTCTGGGTTGATTGTTGGTTGTGGAAACCCTAATTTATGTATGTTTTCTTTTGGTTAATTTGCAGAGGAAGACGCTAAGAATTCCAAGTTTGTCCAACAACACAGGCGGTAACGTCTTAATCTCTCGATCGATCAATTACTATCCGATTTCAGATTTTTCAATGTCTTAATGTTAGTTTAGAATTCGGGAAATGATTTAGAAACTGGTAAATGTGATTCCTCTGCATCTGTTGACTAATCTTTATGAAATGCCCCCACTTCATTCAGATTTCTTAGACTTGTTTTTCATATGGTAAACTTCATTCAGAAGTTTGTGAAGTGAATATGATCTCTCTGCGTCTGTTTCTTGAGCTATTTTGGTTTTGTAGATGGTATTGCTTGATGCATTACAAGCCATACATAAATTTTACCACCTCATTAAGATATAATAACTAAAAGTGTTTGATCAGACTCATGCCAAACCTTGATTGATTTAGTATTACACAGGATCCATAAGACTAACCAATTCTCTGCACTTGTTCATGATTGTTATTTCAGGTGATCTACTGATGGGAAATGTAGAAGCCGAGAAGGCAAAGTGTCCCTTATGATCACTATTGTGAGTGCTTCGGCTTTCAAACCTGTTCTAATAACATAAGAAGAGAGAATTCTTGATACTATACATCTCTCTTTTTCTTTTATGTGTCTTTTCACAACTCCTGAACAGTGCAAGTTCTATTTTGTTGATCCAATCTTTTCCCAATATGTTTGAAATGGATTGATTTCTCCCCTTTTTTCCCATACACTTTGCGTTTAAATAAGCCTTAACTTCTGAGTTGTGAATGATTTGAATCCACCAACATGATTTTTGGTTCATTACTACACATTCTTGTTCTGCCCGAATCTTATTTATTAGTGGTCATAATGGTTAATTCCTGATTTACTTGGGAAAAAATTGGTTAATTTCCAATTTTTTTAATCTAAATTGGATAATTTATACAGAAACTCGATTAGTTGAAACTTGTTTTGGTGAAACCATAGATTTCACTAAACCAGATCATGAACCATGAGAGTCCACGTTTTCTGTAGCAGTGTTGCGCTGATGTGTTTGAATCGAATTTGAGACAAGTTCAAAATCTCATTACAGGAGTTAAGAAATCAACCAAAAAATCGAACACCTTGTGTTGATTTGTTTGAATCGGTTTTGCGACAAGTTTACTATCATTAATGACAAATCTCATTACAAGAGTTATGAAATCAACCATAAAATCGAACACTTTGAGCATTACTGTACTAATAGAACCATCAACATTATTAACTAGTTTGAGACAAGCTAACAAACTGAGTCCAAGATCGCTGCAATGTTGCTTCCACGAGACTTGCGCAAGAGAGGAAGAAAAGGCTTGAGCTTATGCACCAAACCCAAAAACAAATTAGCCCTAATCTTCTCCTTCTTGGTGACTTCCAGTGCCTTGCGCACCACGAAATTCCCATAGTCACTCCTCGCCAGCCTCACCAACCTGTCGTTCTCGCACTTCAAAAGCTCATCAACCACCACAAACATTGACTTCTCCTCCTCCAAAAGCCGCTCCACTATGTAGCTTCCGTATTTCCGTAACGAGAGGTCAGCACAGTAGCCACGGAGTCTAACCACGATGTTTCGCGTGCAATGCAAGTCGTTCAGTCTAAGGACGTGTTGGATCACAAAGTTGCCATAAGGATCGTAGCTTAGGGAGAGAGCGTTGTGCGAGACTACGCCAAGGAGCTGGTTTCTGTAGTAAGGATGGTCCAAGTCGGTTATGATCTCGTTGAGAGCGACGCAGCCGTGTTGGTCACTCGCCAGGTGAAGCGCGTGGTGCAGAATGAGCTCGCACATAGACTCTTTCTTCTGACCGTCGAAAACTCTCATGGCACGCACCGCCACGTAGGACGCGTTCTTGTCGGTCATGACGGAGAGGAAGATGCGCAAGATAGCGGCGCAGAATAAGGCGTCCACGTCGTCTGATTTCCCGAGGAGATTCTGCATGCGTTTGGATCCGTGCTCGTTTCTTGCGATCTCCAAGAAGTAATCGGAATCTGACGTCATCAAAGACGCCATCCTCTGAAGCCCGGTTCTGTTTAGCTTCGAGATCGTTTCTTTAAACCGAGCCGGATCTTGTTTGGTAGTAGTCATGAAGTCGAACATCCACTGGAAACGCGTCTCGAGTTCTTGACGATTAGCGGCGGCGCAGAAACCGCAAGGGCATGAATGGACTAGAGGTTGATTCTGTTTAGTCACATCGGTTTCTCGTGGTGCTAGGGTAATTCCCGGAGGACGAGTGACGGCGGAGACGCCACGTGGAGGAGGAGGAATCGCCGGAGTTTCCTCTGTCATGGGTTCTCTTGCGGTGGCAAAACGGGGTTGTTGTGGTAAAGCATCGAGCATCGTCGACATGGAAAATAGATTGTTGTTGTTAGCCATTGTATACGAAAGAATATTACTCTTTTGGGAAATTGATAAGGTTTTTGTTGTTGTTGTGTGATTGTAGAGAATGAGAGAATGTCGAGATCTTGTGGATACGTATTTATAGGTTTTTGTTTTCCTAACATATTAATGCAATGATTCTTGGAAAGGGAAATATTTATTTTTTTTCTTGGAAAAGGAAAATATTTATCCTTTTCCGTTTTAAAATCATGTAGAGTTTCCTCATTCCGTTTTTTTTTCTGCAACCACTAATTCAGATTAATTAAGCCGTTAAAGATTTGGTTCTTTGACATGTATATATTATAATTTCCATATGGTTAAAGTTACGCTCTTCTCCTGTCTTTTTCTATCTCATACCAATATAAGTTTTATTTTAAAATCTTCAAATTTTGTTAACCCTTAATAACAA